TTTTGTTTATATTTTGTTGCTGGCTCTCTGGGGTGTCCTGATGTTATTTGTAAATAGCAACAAAATCCATGCCACTGTCTTTTTAAAAAAAGTGCATGTTAATGTAGCAGGGACACTTGTAGTAAGCTACAGGTCTCCAGGTGTAGCAGATTTTTAGTTTATATTTTGTTGCTGGCTCTTTGGGGTGTTCTGATGTTATTTGCGTCCAGCATCAAAATCTATGTCATCGTTTTCATAAAAAATGTACATGTTAAGATAGCATGAACATGGCTACAGGTCTCCAGGTGTAGCAGATTTTCAGTTTCTATTTTGTTGCTGGCTCTCTGGGGTGTTCTGATGTTATTTGCATCCAGCAACAAAATCTATGTCATCGTTTTCATAAAAAATGTACATGTTAAGATAGCATGAACACGGCTACAGGTCTCCAGGTGTAGCAGATTTTCAGTTTCTATTTTGTTGCTGGCTCTCTGGGGTATCCTGGTGTTATTTACGATGAGCAACAAAATTCATGCCACCGTCTTGTTAAAAAAAGTGCACGTTAAGTTAGCACGAACACTTGTAGTCGGCTACAGGTTTCCAGGTGTAGCAGATTTTTAGTTTTTATTTTGTTGCTGGTTCTCTGGGATGTGCTGGTGTTATTTACGATGAGCAACAAAATCCATGTCATGGTTTTCTTCAAAAAACTGCATGTTAAGTTAGCATGGACATGGCTACAGGTCTCCAGGTGTAGCAGAATTTTAGTTTCTATTTTGTTGCTGGCTCTCTGGGGTGTGTTGATGTTATTTACGATGAGCAACAAAATCCATGTCATGGTTTTCTTCAAAAAACTGCATGTTAAGTTAGCATGGACATGGCTACAGGTCTCCAGGTGTAGCAGAATTTTAGTTTATATTTTGTTTCTGGCTCACTGGGGTGTCCTGGTGCTATTTACGATGAGCAACAAAATCCATGCTACCGTCTTGTTAAAAAAAGTGCACGCTAAATTAGCATGAACACTTGTAGTCGACTACAGGTTTACAGGTGTAGCAGATTTTTAGTTTCTATTTTGTTGCTGGCTCTCTGGGGTTTCCTGGTGTTATTTACGATGAGCAACAAAATCCATGCCGCCGTCTTGTTAAAAAAATGCATGTTAAGGTAGCATGGACATGGCTTCAGGTCTCCAGGTGTAGCAGAATTTTAGTTTCTATTTTGTTGCTGGCTCTCTGGGGTGTCCTGATGTTATTTGCGTCCAGCAACAAAATCCATGCCATCGTCTTGTTAAAAAAACTGCACGTTAAGATAGCATGGATACGGCTACAGGTCTCCAGGTCTAGCCAATTCTAGGGTTTTTTCAAAAATTTTTACACTATTTGTCAGCAACAAATTAGCAACAAATACTGATGTATAATTGCATTTAATCCATGCCGGTCCCGCTGAGTTTACTGCTAGCTTAACGTTAAGATAGCAGTAACTCCTTTTTTTCGAAATCGGACAAAGCAACAAAATCGGGGTTTTAGCAACTAATTAGCAACAAATTAGCCACAAAATACCGTATATGTTTCGAACGATTCTGCTAACCTTTCACTGCTATCTTAACACACCTGCTTCCACCATACGTTGCTCAGTCATCTCCACGCCAATAGCTTTCCTTGCTAGCTCCCATTTTCGGCTCGCGTACTCCGTAAGGCTGCTGGCTTGATCGCTGGTATAGTCCAGGAATGTCATTAGATCGTCATAGTAACGTACTTCGTCTGCAAAAGTTTCAGATAGTCTATCTTTAAGTTCAATCCAAGATGCAATTGTAGTGTAATTTCGACGCGCCCAATCAGATGCACGTCCTTTCAGATGTTTTCGAGCGAGGTTTAGTGTTTCTCGATCCGTTAGTTGATATTCGGTTTTAAGGTCGTCTATGTTACGACACCAGATTTGTATAGTGTCAGTCCTGTCATCTGGGTCGAAACTAGGTACATAAATACTATCAGGGTTTCTGTTTCGAAAATTGACCCTACTATCAGTTGGATTAAAAGCACGGGCAGTGGTTTCGATTAGTTTAGTCATCATGTCTTGCATAAATTGTACTGGAATGAAACCTGTCCTTGATTCGCTGCCGCCTCCCGACGTATCTTCTCGTGCCTTTTCGTTTTCAACGGCTGATAACCGGGCTGGCGATGGACATGTTCGCCCCAGTATTGGAGATATAGAAGGGTTGATCTCCGATGGCCGAGGACCTGGCGGTCTGTGATGGTTGAAATTAGCAGGGCTCAACGGTCGTTCGCCAGAAGACATAGCCTTGTTGTGTCGCGTAACCTGTTACATAAAGAATATGAGTGTAGTTTTAGTTTTGGGTTCGAATCCCACTTCTGATGTGAGAGATGGATAAAAAAAAAGAACAGAAAGCTATTTTTAAAGTACACATTTATTTATAGAAATATTAATCAACTGATTATTTAATAAACAAAGATATAACCATATTGGTAGATAACAAAAATAATTGTAAATTAATTCATGGGTAAAGCAAAAGTTACTTATAGTTACTGAAAATACCTTTAAATAATTGATTATTATTCTAATATTATATTTAATACTAAAAATCTAACTGATATCTAAATATTTTAGTCAATATGTCAAGAATTCAATGATCACAACAATTATAATGTAATAATTTATATAGTATTATAACTATACAACGATTATATAAATAATTATCATAATCATTATTATAATTATATAAGTAATACAGAGATTAACTGTTCGGTAACTCGGTTAAGTCAGAGCACTTATAGGAAAGTGCCGTGTTCGCAGTCGAACAGCTTCTGACCCAACGAAATGGTTTGTCCTTTGTTTTTATAGTCGAATGTCGTAGTGGGAGTCACTTGATAATAAGACTGTCAATTGACTTACTCTTAAAGCACGGAAGGAAATGCTAAAAATTTAATTAAATACTTTTTATCTCCGACATATATAAATAAATATAATAATTTTAAAAATAAAAGACCAACTGCATAATACTATATTCCATCGTGAACTTGTTTTCATCTTTTTAGTTAGCTTGTATGCGGTCGGTTTTTTTTTGTAATATATTTATTTATCTATAGCTTTTTAAGTATTTTTAAGTAGGAAAATTAGCGTGAATGGTTGTTAACCAACTTTTAATCATTATATATCCTAAACTGTTATTTAAAGTTAAAAATGGTGAAAGAAATGTAAAATAATTTATTAATACCTATTTAACGATCCCCCCTTGACATAGTTCGTTGATTTTCATTATTTTCTTTTTCACATTATTGAATGTACCAGCCCCCATATTTAATTTTTTTTACGTCACCTATTTAATAACACTTGGACTAATGAGTCGAATCTAACGATACGTTAATTAAAGATCCATCGAGTGGTTTGGAAGATATGAGGGAATAACGAAGATAGACGTGAAAAACATAACTCTTTCCTTGCAGTCGGGTAATAAAAGTTGTAGTAGAAAATACCTGAATGAGCGACATCCCAAATTAAATGTGGGGGAAATCGTAATTAATAGCTATATGTATGTACTTATGTACGTATATATATATGTACTTATGTACGTATATATGTATGTATGTATTCAGCCCTTTTTTACCGTTGCACTACTGGGCATGGGCTTCCCTTCAATACGAGGGGAATCAGGCAATAGTCCATCACGCTGGCCAAATGCAGGTTGGCGGACTTCACATGTCTTTTGAAAACTTGCTACGTTCTCTAAGACACGCAGGATTCCACACGATGTTTTCTTTCACAGTTAAGGCAAGTGGTAATCATGTTGGAAATGATTCGCACATGAAAATATCAAAGGTGCGAGACCCGGGATTCGAACTCGCTTCACACGGTTTCCAAACGAGCGCGTTACCACTGGGCAACCAATGCCTTTATAATAGTTATATTAAACTGATGAATTCGCACTCGCTTGGTTTTTAATATCACTCTAACACAAGTCAAACATCAATGAAAGTTCCCATATCACGAGTCCATTCTAATAAGACGTGTAATTTATTTAGCAATGTTGATGTTAAGTAAATCTAGAATCTCGTATGAAACAGGCGCTTCATGGCTTAACTTTTTGTTAGTACTATTTATTACAGTTGCTACAAATACTATGTTATTTTTAAATTTTAGATTTACTTTTATGAAATACTAGCAACCCGCGGCTTTGCTCGCGCTAAAACAACAAAAAAAGTCTTTAAAAAGGTAGTGTCATACAAACATTCATCCCCTTGTAGGATGATTTTCGAAAAATGCTAAAACACGTATTTATTAAATTTTATCGAAAAGCATTAATACCAAGTTTCAAGTAATTCTGATCACAAATATTTTTTTGGATTGGATTATAACGTGTTTTTTCTGTGCGAATTAGATAATCCCCCGCGGTAAAAAGTAACCTATGTTAATGTCCAGCCTCGTCCAACCACACAAAAAATCACGCCAATCCGTCACTCCGTTTCAACGTGAAAGAAAGATAGACAAACAAACAAACAAACAAACAAACGAACGAACGAACGAACAAACGAACGAACAAACAAACAAACAAACAAACAAACAAACAAACAAACAAACAAACAAACAAACAAACAAACAAACAAACAAACAAACAAACAAACAAACAAACAAACAAACAAACAAACAAACAAACAAACACACTTTCACATTTATAATATTAGTATGAAGTAGGAAATATACATCATGTAACATATAAAGTGTTAATAAAAAAGTAGACTGATGACTTAGGCCTAAAACGTACCTATAACGAAAAAATACAGTCTACAGTATTCAATACCAGACTTCAACAATATACATTTTAAAATTTTCTAAATAAAGGTTTATTACACTTATGATTTTTTTCGATCTAAGTTGGCATTAGTGGCTTTAAAAACGTCAGCGAGGAATGCAAGAAGAACTTAAGGCTCGTTCTATTATTCCCTTTGAGGAACTAGCCAGGGTTAAAGTAATAATTTGCAAAAGACCAGATTCAATATTAAATTTATTTTTTACAGGATGGTGCACGTAGTATCCACACAGCGGCGAGGTACGGTCACGTCGGCATAATCAACACACTATTGCAAAAAGGGGAGAGCGTCGATGTCACCACTAATGTAATATATTATTATTTTAAATATAACTTTATTATTATACTGTTTTATTTTTAAATATACATTTAAAATAGGGGTTCATCCTCGCATCACTCGGGTTCGTCCCTAGTGAAAAACAATAACAAATATATTCCGGTACATTTTACCGGGATAAAAAGTTGCCTATATGCTATTCCACACTATAAACTATCTCTGTGCCAAATTTCATCCAGATCCGTTCAACCGTCCTGGCGTCATTGAGTAACTAACACACATCCATCCATCCAAACTTCCGCATTTATATAGTAGTAAGATATAATACCTTACCTTTACCTTATTATAATTTTAAAATGAAAAAAAAAAACAAAGAATGCTATTCAATTAAAAAGTAGTGAGACAGAAATTACCCTACACATTTTATTATTAAGTAGCTTTTATTCTAGAACTATTTTACTTCTTTAAATGTTTATGTTATTTTTAATGTTTTAAAAATATAAATCTACGACATTATGATATCTATACAGGCAGGGTTGATGAATGTGTTGTAAGAATTGAGGAACACTTTATTTAGAATAAACAACCACTTTAAAATAATAAATTGTTTATCGATTACTAGTCTTATATAAATACCTATATTTTAGAAAATACATCACTACTGATGGCTATTGATTTATTTTAACAGATTTACTAATAAAAATGTATAATGTCAATAAACCTAGAGAAAATAGATAGTTTACTTACCACATACTATTATATTTTCAAATGTTTCCTAAATGTAAATCCTTATGTAATCCTTTCCTAAATTTCCTAAATATACATATAGTATATAAAAATCTTAATAACTTCAAATATAACTTAATAATTGTATGCACGTTTTGTTGAGTGCCTTTAACACTTACATAATTGATATCTAGGTAAATTTGCCTCATAGGATAACTACACAGCTCTTCACATAGCAGTCGAGTCATGCAAGCCCGCTGTGGTGGAAACCTTACTGGGCTACGGCGCCGACGTGCACATACGCGGCGGCAAGCAACGAGAGACCCCGCTACATATCGCTGCTAGGATACCTGATGGTAGGATATTACAACTAGACAGGAATTACAAAATTTTCACGAATTTTTTGAACTTGTTAAGTGAAGTTTTCTGAACATATATAAAAACTGCGTTTTTTTTTAAAAAGGGGGCTTCTTTCAAGTATTACGTAAACACCAAAGGGGCGGAGGAGTCTTTGCTTCGCTTACTTTTAATGACATAGGGGACGGGGGGTACGGGGGGCGGGGGTATCTGGATGGTGATTACTTTAGTAATATTTATTTATTTAAAATAATTAAATTAATTAAAATTTAGAATAGTTTGATTTGTCAAATCCATGTGTTCAGAACGCACATTACAACCCTTCTTTTTTTTTTTTAACGTTGGGAAATGCATTTACGCACGACGTGTGGGACTCACCGGCGTAATACAACCAGTACTACCCACTAAAACCCAACAAAACCTTCCCCCGTCTTAATGGGGCGTCGCAGGATCGCTTACGCATTCAACTACGACGCCCCGACGGCAGGTCTGCCAAAGCAGACCACCACAACCATGGGGTTACTCCAAGGTCCACTCTGCTATCAGAGAAGTACCAGGAGCAACCCGCAAGGTACACCGCCCCCCGAAGAGGGCCACCTCCCACCGCCCACCGAAGTGGGCAACCTCCCTGTGCGTTTCTTAGCTTCGCTACTACTACTGAGCCCCCCCACCACGACAAGGTGAACGCACGTTGGCATTACAACCCTGCTTGTCTATGCTCAAAAGCAAAAAAGCATGTTCAGGGGTTCCCTAAAATAATTTAAAGGTAATGTTTACGTAAGCATAGGAGCGGAGAGTAAGAACTTTGCATACTTTTGCTGACAAAAGGGAGGGAGGGGTTAATAATTATTAAAATTCTGCTTACGTAATACTTTCATAGCCCCAAAGACACCTTTATAGATGAACTTAAAAACAAAACCTTATCTAAATACAAAATTTGATCCAAATCGTTAAGGCCGTTTTCGGCATACACGATATAAATTTATAAACATATTATACACAAGAATTGCTCGTTTAATATAATAAGACATATGAACAATTCACATTTGGTCTTCTCCAGGTGATAAATGCGCGTTAATGTTATTGAAATCGGGAGCTGGGCCAAATAAAGCAACAGAAGATGGGATGACTCCAGTACATGTAGCTGCAAGATATGGAAACCTTACTACTTTGCTCCTTTTGCTAGAAGATGGAGGAGATCCGTTAAGAAAAACAAAGGTAATATGATAATCATGCTTAAAATGATCCATTTGAATTTTCTAATTTTACCAATTATTATTAATCTTTTAATATCTTTATTTTATATCTAATTAGAATTACTCATAAAAAAATATACATACTAATGTAAATATATTTCATCAGACAGGTGAAACACCTCTCCATATGGCATGTCGAAGTTGTAAACCAGACGTAGTACGACATTTGATAGAATTCGTTAAAACACGCAAAGGAGACAAATTTGCTACTATGTACGTTGACGCAGTAGACGAAGACGGAGCGAGCGCTTTACATTTTGCTGGTCAAATAACTAAAGAAGAAGTCAAAGTAGCCTCTGCTGATAAAGAAGTTGTTAAATGTCTCATGGAAAATGGAGCCGATGTCAATTTACAAACAAAACACAATCAAGAAACAGCATTTCACTTTTGTGCAATAGCCGGTAATAATGATGTGTTGACAGAAATGATCACTGATATGTCAGCGGCTGATGTGAGCAGAGCTTTGAATAAACAAAATTCTATTGGATGGACACCTTTATTAATTGCATGTAATCGTGGACATATGGAACTTGTAAACACTTTACTATCAAATCATGCAAGAGTAGATGTATTTGATATTGAAGGAAGATCTGCTTTGCATTTAGCTGCAGAGCATGGATATCTGCACGTATGTGATGCTTTATTAACAAATAAAGCATTTATTAATTCAAAAGCGCGAAATGGCCGAACAGCTCTTCATTTAGCGGCTATGAACGGCTACGCTCATTTGGTAAAATTTTTAATAAGAGATCATAATGCGATGATCGACGTTCTTACATTGAAGAAGCAAACTCCACTACATTTAGCGGCAGCAAGTGGCCAAATTGAAGTTTGCAAGTTGTTACTTGAACTTGGTGCCAATATTGATGCTACAGATGAGTTAGGCCAGAAACCCATTCATTCTGCTGCACAAAACAATTATTCAGAAGTGGTACAGTTGTTTTTACAACAGCATCCAAACTTAGTAATGGCCACTACTAAAGATGGAAATACTTGCGCGCACATAGCAGCTATTCAAGGATCTGTAAAAGTGATAGAAGAACTAATGAAATTTGATAGGACTGGTGTAATATCAGCGCGAAATAAATTAAATGAATCAACACCTCTACAATTAGCTGCAGAAGGTGGTCATGCGGATGTTGTCAGAGTATTGGTAAGAGCTGGAGCTTCTTGTACAGATGAAAATAGAGCAGGTTTAACAGCAGTTCATTTAGCAGCTGAAAATGGGCATACCAACGTATTAGACGTTATGCGTTCTACAAATACATTGCGGATATTAAGTAAAAAATTAGGATTGACACCCTTACATATCGCTGCGTATTACGGACAAGCAGGTTTGTTTATCTGAAAATAATAAACTTAATTCAATTTATAATTTTGATTAAACAAAAAGTAACAAAATCGTTGTTAATGTTTCAGAAACTGTTCGCGAACTCTTATCATATGTGCCAGGAACCGTAAAATCTGAGCCTCCAACAGGAGTATCGCTGGTACCAATACTAGGCGCAGAATCTGGTCTAACACCACTGCATCTTGCCGCTTACAATGGTAACGAAAATGTCGTACGATTGTTACTCAATTCTGCTGGTGTACAAGTTGACGCTGCTACTAATGAAAATGTAAGGACATACACAAGTTATCTTAATCTAAGTATAACAAAATGAAAAAAATCTTATCAATCAATCTGTTTCAGGGATACAATCCCCTTCATTTAGCATGTTTTGGAGGACACATGTCTATAGTTGGTTTGCTCTTAAGTAGATCAGCAGAGTTACTACAAAGTACAGATAGACATGGAAAAACTGGTTTACACATTGCATCCACACATGGACACTATCAAATGGTAGAAGTCTTACTTGGGCAAGGCGCTGAAATAAACGCAACAGACAAAAATGGGTGGACTCCCTTGCACTGTGCTGCAAAGGCGGGATATTTAAACGTAGTTAAATTATTATGTGAATCAGGAGCATCGCCAAAAAGTGAAACTAACTTAAATTGTGCTCCAATTTGGTTTGCTGCTTCAGAAAACCATAACGACGTACTGGAATATCTTTTGCACAAAGAACACGATACCCAATCATTAATGGATGATAAAAGATTTATTTATAATCTTATGGTGTGTTCAAAAAACCATAATAACATCCCCATAGAAGAATTTGTGCTAGTTTCACCAGCGCCTGTTGATACAGCGGCTAAATTATCAAACTTATACATCAATTTATCAACTAAGGTATGTATTACCTATATTATTCGTTGAACGACTGATTTCTTAATATAAATTGACTATTAATTTACAGGAAAAAGAGCGTGCCAAAGACCTTATAGCGGCTGGGAAACAATGCGAAGCAATGGCTACAGAATTATTGGCATTAGCGGCTGGTGCTGACTCTGCCGGTCATATTCTTACCGCTACAGATAATAGAAATATAGAATTTTTAGATGTATTAATAGAAAACGAACAAAAAGAGGTCATCGCACATACCGTCGTGCAGAGATATCTTCAGGTAAAAAATAGGTAACTTCGTCTACTACAGCAATAGTTGCTTTAAAAATTATGTCATTTTATTAACTTGTGTTTTTATTTCAGGAACTCTGGCGCGGGAGCCTCAAGTGGACTGGCATCAAAATTATGTTCCTTTTTTTCGCATTTATAATTTGTCCGCCAGTCTGGCTCGTCTTTTCCCTTCCATTAGGCCATAAATATAATAAAATTCCTATAATTAAGTTTATGTCATATTTAACATCTCATATATACCTTATGGTATTATTATCATTAGTGGCGATAACGCCTATATATAATTCAATATTTAGAGAAAGTTTAGTGCCTAGATGGTATGAATGGATGCTGCTTGTGTGCTTAAGTGGTCTTTTACTTTTCGAATTAACAAATCCTAGTGATAAATCTGGTTTAGGATGGATAAAGATAGCAGTTTTATTATTAGGTATGATCGGCGTGGCAACCCACGTCATAGGATGGATTTCTGTACAACCTAAGTATTGGCCAACTTTAATGTACTGTAGAAATCAATTTTTTGCCTTATCATTTTTGTTAGCTTGCGTACAAATATTGGACTTTTTATCATTCCACCACCTGTTCGGCCCTTGGGCTATTATTATTGGTGACTTAATGAAAGACTTGGGAAGATTTCTTGCAGTTTTAGCAATATTCGTATTTGGATTCTCAATGCATATTGTAGCTTTAAATCAACCTTTCCGAAATATATATAAACCGGAAGACAACAAATATGCAAGACAAGCCAGAAGAAAAATATTCTCAGACGGTAAGGACATCCTTTATGCTATTATACTTATTACCACCATAAAATTTCTTTCAGCTAAAATTGAAAATTTTAAGTTATTTATATGTACTTTATTTAAGAGAAAGGGTTATTTCTTTGTAATATATTATATTTAACTAAGGTATTCATTACAAATTCTTATATAATAGATAATAATCTTCGAACAAAAAGACAAGCATATGATTCTCAATGGTTTTCGGGAGAATCATATCGAAGAAAACAAGGGGTGACTAGTCGTAAGTGGATGTTAGCAATAGACGTTACCGAAATCAAAAAATACTTCAATTCATTTTGCATTTTACGGTGATTGCCTTAAATCTGTGTGCTTATTTTATTTAGATACAATCCGCTTGCAAGCTTGAATGTTTGCCACCATGTCGAGAATGTTATCATCGTTAATAATTTTATTTAACGTGTTGAATAAATCACAAGGATTTGGAATGAGTTAGGTCATGGTATATATTATACACCTATCTCGCTATTTGTGGCATGTCTTCATTCTCTTTTTTAAAAAGTTGTTCAACAATTACAAGAATATTCAATGACTAGATATAGTGTAATGTTAATTTGTTGCGCTGTGCATTTTCTGTTTCATATAAATAAAAATATTACATTTATGATCATGCATTCAAACTTATTGTATAATATTTTACAGATAAAATAAACAGAAAATGCTTTGTGCGATATATCTAGTTTTAGTGGAATGAGTGGCCGACCTCACCGCATTCAATGGAGCAAATTTGATTTGCGCATGCCGCAAGGCTTTTGTCCTGCGTTTGACACCGGCGTCTTAAGGTATCCTATTGTATCATGTTTGGCTGTTTGTCGTCAATGTGGCACGTTGTGCCGACGCTCTTCTAACACAAGTAGAGGGGAGTGGGGTAGATTGATATTCATTAAAATACAATTGGTTATTTAGATCATAATATAAAAACATATTCGAAATTATTCTACTACGACACTAATCATGGAACACAATACAATTCATGTTCACACTAATCAATCTACCCCTTTAGTGCACACTTGAACAAATCTTAGTTACTTAGTCGAAAATGCTAGTTGTGGGTTTTTAAAGTTCTGTTTTGAAGTATATAGCACTTACGCCTTAAATGTCTATAGATTCAATCTATAATGTAATATAAGCCATATGTCAAAGCATAACTAAGATGAAGGGGTACATTGATGCCGATTGAATTATCCACTTACAAAAACTAATACTAATAAAATTATTAAAACTTTATTAAAACAAACAATAATAATTCACAAGCAATCACTTTAAAAAAACATTGTGCATTAACATACCCCTCCATATACAAGAGAGGTTAAGGTCCATGCGAGTGTTGTCTTCTAGCGACGTTGTCAACAATCGAGGCCTTGGAGAAATTGTTCTTCGCCCTTTTCGGCCAGATTACTTTGTCAGACCTGAACTACGTGTCAACTGTTCGACCATTGTGGACGCAGACGCTGTTCAAGTTTGTCTTCGGCGCCTACTTATTGATGTCCGTCGTGGTGCTCATAACGCTCCTTATTGCGATGATGTCGGACACTTACCAACGCATACAGGTAACTTTGTTGTCACCTTCAACTCGATTGTTCACAGTGACCATGAACCCAATATACTCCTTCGAGCTGCTATTCTTCGCGGTGTTTGGTCAAACAACCACAGAACAAACGAGGGTCCACCGAAATGACAGCAACACACAGCCGGCCTGGACCAACTATTTGTTCAAAATTGTTTTCGGCATCTACATGCTGGTGTCGGTGGTTGTATTAATAAATCTACTCATTGCCATGATGTCAGACACGTATCAAAGGATACAGGTAATGTACACGTGCACAGACTAGTATTGGTGTACGCGGCTTGCATTCAAAATAGTTACTAAAGCGTATAAAACAATAAAAAGAATGATAAACTTGGAGTGTTGTACATTTCTTAAAATATAACATTAAATAAACATGAATTTTTAAACTTGTATGTGCTGCGTACGTGCTTGCAATAACTATGACCTAATGATTTGATAATAATATTTTAATATAGTGCATGAAATAATATTGAATGTTTTTATAGAAATGAATTCCAATACTTTTCTTATTTTTTAACCTTACAATATTATATAAAGAACATCAATTCGTTACGTCATATTTTTGATAGATATCTACTTCGATTACCAATTTAATGAACAGGGTCATCATAAACAAAATTATTCTACATTTTAATTTTTTTATGTCAATGAGTCCAATTTATTCTTATATCATTTCCTGTTTAAACATAAAATAACCTTCTGAAATAATTTTGGACAATATGTAAAATTAATCTTTTTATACCTAATACAATAAAAAATACTACCTATTTATATATTTTTAAATAAAACAATAAAGTTTAAAAATATTTTATATTTTAGGCACAATCAGATATAGAGTGGAAGTACGGTTTGTCAAAACTTATCCGTAATATGCATCGTACAAACACAGCGCCATCTCCGCTTAATTTAGTAACGACTTGGCTTATGTGGTTAATACATAGATGTAAGGTAAGCCAAATTATTTATCAGCACAACTTCTAAACACAAATTATATTTTATTCTATTTTAAAGAAACCTTATCAACTTCTCTTTAAATAATTGATTGAAATATGTCCAAAAACCACAACACTGATAAAAAGGTGAATGTAAACAATAAATTTAAATAAAAAAATACACGTACGTCGTACATAGTGTATAACCCTGACCCTGTTTTCCCAAAAAATGTCATATAAGTAGCGACCAATCATTGTTTTCTTCAGAATCCCTCACCATTATCCTTAAATAAAAGTAAAGACTTTAAAATGTACTTGCTATCCGCCGTCAGTCTTTGTATTGTACACAAAAAGACGATCAAATACAAACACAAAAAATAGTATGGGCTCATAATGTATAAAAATGAAAAATACTGATACAACATGAACATGTATTAAGTGTGTCCAAAATATTCAGAATAATAATATATCTTAACGTATAATTTATATCAGGAACGACTAAGCAAGAAAAAGCGGCCCAGTTTAGTACATATGATCGGGATGCAGCGTCAGGACCAGTTGAGCGCGAGATCCAAAGCCGGAGCTAAATGGCTATCAAAAGTTAAAAGAGGGCAAGTTGTACCAAAAGGTATAATAGTAATTATACAATATACTTATTCCAACTACTATTTACTACTTATTATAATTACATATATTGTCATGGTAATAATAATTTAACGATGACTATAATATTTTTTTCAGATACTACACGTTTGTCCGTCGTGCATTTGAGTCCTTTAGGCTCACAACTCAGTTTTAGTAATATGACGAGGATAGAAAATGTAGTTGACTGGGAGATAATCGCCAAGAAGTACAGAGCGTTAACGCGAGACGAGCCGGATGAACCTGTTAACAAGGAAAGCGAAACGGATTCTGTTGATGAGGAAACAGAAATAGTTCCTAACAACATAGCGGCGGCTCCGCCTTGAACGAACAATTGGGAAAAACTAGAATTAAAAGTCACTATTGGTACTATTTACTAAAGTACCAACCAACAAATATATCTTGTAAAGCTGTTTTAACCTTCAAATGTTGATACAGTAAGCAAATCATCGAGTTTTTATCTGTACAATATTATTTATAATTTTCCAATTTTACTGATAGATTAGATGTAATGTAACACCGACAAAGGTTGTAAGTAGTTAAGAACATGGAATTGCCTTATAAATATTTGCCTTATTTCTTAATATATACTATAAATATATGTATATAAAGATATATAATATTCAAGGAATGTTGAAGATAAGAAATCTTTTTTACTTCGGAACTTTATTTTTATTGTAACTTTGAAATGGTTTGTAAATAAATTGTGCTTAAATGATAATCGTAAAAGCTATAAAATCAATAATTGAATTGATAGTTCTTTTTAAAGTTATGTATAAATGAGAGTATTTATTATTAATTATAGTGCTAGTAACTTATTTTAGCAATACCAATAAAGCATTCGTTGTCTTCTAAATATATTTTATACTAGCAACATGTAGGTACGTTTTAACGGTTAGTATAGATTTCTCAGAGATGAGATATTTTCTCACACTAAAAAGTATCTTAATTAATGTTGACCTGACTAACCAGCTATCATCACAACAAATTTCATCAAAATCAGTCCAGTATTTGTCTCGTCCGACAAAAATTCTAAAAACTATAGACTCGGCCTCTGTATCGATAATAATGACTTTCCAAAAAAGTCCGAAGACTTTCCAAAAAATAATTAAATGTACACTCTCGATTAAGTTAGAATTTTATTATATGTATAGTATATAAAGTAAAGAAAAAACGCACAAAAACGTTTGTATCTTTGATGAAATGCTTTTTGTACATAACATAACAATGTATACTGATAAAATATTCAAGTACTTATTCTCCTTGAGCTTTGATCCATTTTCTCAACAAGGCAGGCCATTTAACTCCTCACTTCACTGCTCACGTTGACTATGTGTAGATTCCAAAACTAATGGGATAACCATCGACTAATTTGTATTAATCACACCTGGATTAAGGAGTTCTGATATCTGACTTAACGTAAGTACTTCACAAGTCCGGATAAATCTTTGTCGTCGTTTAACGTTTCAATCATTTTCATTCATATATCCATATGGATATAACATTTATTTCATATAAAACTACATGCCAATGTTTTAATTTGCATCATTTTACGACACATTTTTACATTTTTTACTCTTTACGAGCCTCTCCTGTCTTCAAGATATCCCTGGCGTGCCTACATTAACACAATTTTTTTTTCATTGTAGCATTTCATTTTTAACGTGTAGGTACTTAATTTGAACATATTTGTACTACATAATAACCTCGCTATAAAGCGAAAAAATAAGTGAAGAAATGATATATTAAGGATCGATGAGCTCTAGTAAGAAGCAAAATTTTTAAATGGAATTATAATGAACGAAATCAACATAAATTTCAATCCTGTTAGTTCAATAAAAAACAAGTTCTAGTCATATGTGATACATACAGCTACATATATATAATATTTTATTAATATAGGAGTTACACAATTAAAATTCTAATGTTATAAAGTATATACCATTACGGTCTCTCCATCTCTTGCGCGACTTTGAATCAGTTTACTTAATTTGTATTATTTTAAAATTTTGCAAAAACAAAGAAAAAATTTTGAACGCCCAATGCCCTCATTGACTAAAACTACTAAAGCGTATTCGCCTTTTCGAAATAGAATATCCTTGGACCACTACAGTTGCGAATTATTTGAAAAAGTTTTCTTTTATCATTTTAAATTAACACATCCTATTTCTTCTTCTCAAGTATTTAATGTAATAACCCCAGAATCACTTAATTGCTAAATAAACAAAAAATAGTCGTGAGCGGAAATTCCATGTGATTTTTTTCACGTAAAATATACAGAGTAATATAGTAATGATATACTCGTATAATAAATTTTAAGGACCTACTATTTAGTAATAGGCATATATTCGTCATACATATTAAATATACCTATTAAGTTGTGACTTAGGAGTATTAATGAGTATTTTTCCATGTAAAAACGTTTGTAAAGTATTAATAATAATTAAAAATGTCTAAGATATATTTGCAGGCAGTGGTAGCTCATTGGAAACGTTCTTACTTGGGAAACCATGTGAAGCGGGTTCAAATCCTAGGTCTCGTACCTCTGCATGTCTGATAGAACTTTGTAAGTTTTCGAAAGACATGTGTAGTCCGCCAACCCGCACTTAGCCAGCGTGGTGGACAATGGCATGATCCCCCTCGTATTGAAGGGAGGCCCGTGCCCAGCAGTGGGGCATTAAAAAGGGCTGAATACAAGATATATGTTCTTAAGTTATGATATTTTTGTAAATAAAAACGTTGTGGATTTGTGTACTTGATTGTTTCCAATAAAATTCGTCCATTCTGTATTATGTTTTATTAGACCTTACTATCTTTATTAATTAAATAAATGCGTAGGAAAAATCATGTAACACATTTTTATTCAATATAAAGAAAAAATAATTTTAGAAAATCGTTGAATACACATTAAATCACATAACAGTAATGTTCTAAATGCAATAAAAACATGTGATAGGATAGCTTGTGTGGGGGGAATATGTTTGTTGCTTCTTCTCTTATTCCCATGATGATGAGATGGATTTGAGAGTATTTATAAATTGATATGGATATATAAAACATTTGAAAAAATAAGTGTTGAAACAAATAATCATTAATTTTATTAGATCAAAGTACCTATAATATTGTTTCTGTGTAAAGTGATATATATATATATATATATATATATATATATATATATATATATATATATATATATATATATATATATACTTTATTAACTCTGGACTTTTTGACATAATTAAGCCAGAAGAAATAGCAAATTAAAAAAAAGTTTATAGTAAAATATTCTTCGAAAACATGTTTTATAGATTCATTATCATATCTGGTCAAGGTACGACATTTTTCTAACTCCATTCCACAGATACATATAAATTAAGCACATTTAAATGGCTTAAAACTGCACGAAAAAGTACTGCAATTATAAATACTTATACAAAAATATAACTTACGTAGGTTATTAGTCTCTCTTAATAGTTAGTAGCACGATTGTTTATGTAATACAAAGCGGATAGTTAAAAACAAAGCAATAATTCCACGACCTTCCATTGAAATAATATAAAATTTTAATTTCATTTTCACAATTTTGATTTTATTTCAATTTTTGTGTCTTGTAAAATTTTATATATAACTTTAATTGAGAGATTTTAATTTTAAATGTGAATGTTCTGAATAAAAATGAGAAACATTAAAAATTTGCAAAAACCTCTTAAAGTTTCTACTTAACAATATAAAAACATAAATGGGTACAATTCTGACGAGAGGCCACCTAATGACAATAAAAATTTAACTATATCAGTAGAAAATTACTAAAGTACCTAAAGGTGTAACATAGCTTTACATGCTCTACATCCTTAGGATCGGGGGTCTAACTTCATTTATAATTTTGGGAACTGATCAGTTCCTTCTTTACCATAAGGGTACATGGAGTACGTGCACAGAGCCCCCATTCTCACGAGGGCCCCAAGAAAACAACACATTCATCTACATGGGAAAGAGAGTCTGCACTGCACAGTACCTATATTATATACTGAACTAAATTATACCTATCTCTTCATCAACGTGTTTCTATCTTTTTAGTTCACCTGCTTACGCCGCGCCGTCGGGTTTTTCGGGTAGGATAGAATCCTCACTTCCAAAGAGAGGTAAACGAATAAACCGCTGAGCAAAAACTGCTTCTTTTAATGGCAAGTAAAATTTTTGTAATTTTCAAAATTATTTTTAACTCCCTCTTACTTTAATAATAGACGATGATTTATTGTAATTTCATAATATGCAATTATCAGATATCGCAAATCTTGTCAGAGATTTCCACTAAATTTAAGTCGGTTTGAGGGCATACACTAAAATTTTATTAGATATTCAAATGTACTTGCCAATATCTATAAAACTCTACCACAAAAGCGTCAGAAATATGGTGAGTACATAAAACATAATGGATTAATGACGTAATCTCAGCGAACAATAACGCATGGGTGAACCAGTGTTGCCGACATGCTAAAATCATCTAAATAATTATTGGAATAAATAAGTATTGGAAAACAATTAACATTCCGTTTTAAAGTGATTCGATTATAAATTTTAAACAAAAATGTTCCTAACTGAACTTTGATTGCAGCGGCCAGTCTTACTGAGAATAGCTTTCTGTGCAAGAAATATTTTAGTGTAGGTACAAGTGTGCAAGCACAAGTGCACTCTCTATTTTTTGACTTTTAATTTCACGTCAAGCCGAAAGAGAAAATAGGTGTAAGATGTACTTCGATTTGTACTTGAAATTTTCTCTACAGAAATACCCAATAATAATTACTCTTAACAACAACTTGAACCGAAACCCTAATCTGATCTGATCTGCAGCCGTAAATATTAGCAACTAGAACGACAAGACCAACCACACAATAAATGTAATCTTACTATACTATATAAATGTTTCGATGGATAGATACAGTATTATGTGATCTGTGGATAGACATTTGTTACTCAATCACGCCAGAACGGCCGAACGGATCTCGATGAAATTTGGCACAGACATTATAGTCTGGAATAGCACATAGGCTACTTTTTATTCCGGAAAATACACGGTTCCCGTGGGATAGAGTTGTTTTTGAGTTGTTTTTGAGCCGCTAGTACCTTATACATATGATTTGAAATTTTAACATTTTATTAATATTATAAAACACAAATCTATTTTTATATACTAAACTATCAATTTAAACTACCAAATTATTTGACCTCAAATAAAAGAATCAGTGGTTCATTTATTGAGGCTATCTTAACTAAAACCGTGAGACGGTTACACACAACACCAAATTTTCCATTATTAGATACA